TTATTTTCTTCCTATTTCTTTGTAGTTTTACAGTGTGAGGAGAAATATTGCTCGCAGAGATGCCAGACACTCAGCTTGTGTTTGAATAGACCCAGGTAGAAGCTCAGAACTGCATCAGGGATGCACTGATTTTCTTTGTGTAGGCAAAACCCCCCAGTTAGCACCTTTTAGACAGCAGCATCCCAACACCGGAAGAAAATGCAAAGAAAATACGATAGGTGTGGTGATGCACTCTGGATGCACCAGCTAGCAAACAGATAACCACCAGGAGTTTTGCAGGGTTATGAACTACAGATTTTATTGGTTTTTTTCAGACAGATTGAAGCAAAACAGTGATGAAAAGAATTAAACATCCCACACACCAAGAGGAAAATTAACAGCAGGACTAGTTCTTACAAAGGAAAATCACACTGATCAGTGAGTAGCAACTTCAAAGCACATTACAGGCATTTGGTGATTAAAGGCAGACAGAGAAGAGGAGAGAAGATCTACAGTCTCTAAGGAAATGAGGAAGACCATTTAGGGTGTCATCCATATCCATATCCAACACGGAGTGAGCCAGGAGGGAAGCAGCAGGCAGCACAGCTCTGCCTGCCCTTTGCCGAGTGGGTTTAGTGGCCGCCACAGCAGCCGCCGCTGTTATTGTTCATGGTGTAGCAGCAGGTCTGCATGGGCATGCAGCAGCTGGGGTAGCAGCACTGCATGGGTGAGCAGCACATCGGTGTCTTGCAGCACTTTGGGCTGCTGTAGCAGCACACGGAGTAGTTATTTCCACCGCAGCATCCACAACCTCCGTTGGGCATGTTGTTGGTAGTAGTGTAGGCAAAGCTGGAAGGAACAGAGAGGGTCTCTTTTTCTTTGCCTGAATTTCCCAGTTGTTTATGCAGCTTAAAGCATACTTATCCAAAAGTCTATCCCAAACCGGCTGGGGAAGTCCCTACTGTCCAGAATCCCATGACAGCCTGTCCCCGAGATCTCCACATTTTTGCATTAGCCACCAGTGCATTTGACATATTGTCCAGCACTGGTTCCATCAGAAAGAAGCCACCCAGGTGCATCCCAAAACCAGTCTCTCAAAATTGGTCCCAAACCAGACAGTACAGGAAATCATGGATGGCTTCCTGCAAAAGCACACAGAAGCACAGTAGAGTGCAAATGAAAAGGCAAGTAGTAAGCTCTGACTTACCCTGTTGACCAGTGAGGACAAGTGAGGAGAAGTCAAGATGAGCGAATGAAGACCACTGTGATGGGGAGCCTTTTATATGCTTCAGAGCCGTCTTCCTGGAAGTGAGGCATTCTTTGGCAATTCTGACTTCACCGTGTATCACCCAGTGTATGCCTCTCATGTGTCTTCCGGTATTTAATCTTTACCTCTTTCTGTTTGCTCACCACCCCAATTCTGCACCATAATTAGTGGTACTTAAAAACAACAGGTGCACATTTTCTAATGAATTTGCATTAATGGGAACCGGAGGTAGCTGTAAGGTATTCCTATCCACTTCCCAAGGAATGACCTTGAGACGCAGAGACACTTTACAATTTGCCTGGGGGAGGCGGGTGCTGAAGCAGTGGGAGAACTATGCCTGGAACTTGGAAATGTCACCGCTCACGTATCCCCTCTGCTTTTGGCTGGGATTTTGGGGGACCAGTGGAAACTATTGGTGAATGTGAATCCTTTTTTCCTGCCTCCGAGAGGTGGCTGTGTGGTCAAAGTTAAGACCGAAGAGTTTCGCCTTTCTCAGTCTTGTTCTTGGGTTTCCCTCCATGGTGCTTGGTCCTCACACCCCCTGCTTTTTATTTCTTCTAAAATATTAAGAATTTTGTTCATTTTCATCCATGGAAGGGATAGATTAAGTCTAAATTAAGCAGCTTTCAAAGCAGTAGTGCACACATGTTAGCTTTTTTCGGTATTGTTTCCATACACTCTGTTTTCTGAGATTATTTCTAAGGCCTGTGAGACCAAGATAGCTTGTATTTAATGGTATTCGTGATGATCACATTAGAGTGTTTCATATTAACAATTTGATTCTATGTCACTGTAGGCAAGCATGAGGTTCAAGACTGGAAATCCAATCCTGAGTGTATTTCTCCATGCCTTTCCCCTGTACCTCAGGAGCCCAGCTAGTACCTCACAGATGCTCTGAGTTCAGGCACTGATGGGACTTTTCCAGCAATTGTTTATAGTTGTTTTGGCTGCAATGTGCTAAGGCCAAGGCTGCTGTGCACGCAAAGCTTGGCTGAACAGTCAGGAGGGAATGGATAAGATGGTTGGAGTCAAGGCAGATATTATGAAACAGGTTTGGGGATGGGGGAAGGAACTGTGGCCACGTGGAAAGCCAGTACAACTCCACGTGAGAAGAAGGTGTTGATGGAGTTTTCATCTGGTGAGAGGGGACATCAGTATAGGATGAGAGTCCCAAGATGCTGAGGCAGCATCTATTGATGGCAAATAAAGGCTGCCATCATGTTCAGCAGACTCTGAATGTGAGGCTGGAGTGGTGGCAGGTGATCCCTGGTGGCTGGGACACGTAGTTTCTTCCCAAAATGCAGACATGACCTCCTATGATGTTGGGTGTCTCTTCTGGAATTGTCCCTAGGGGAGCATTGTTTTGGTCATGTGATAATAGCCAGATACCTGCCTGCAGGAAATAATACCCTCCTTGTGTAAACCCTCAAACATGTCCACTGAATAAGTCATTCATCGCCTTTTTATCAGGCTTTATTGTCGTCATACTGGCCAAGATGATCCCTGTGTTAGATTCATAGGCTCACAGAATGGTTTGGGTTGGAAGGGACCTCTAAAGGTCATCTAGTCCAGCCCCCCCTGCCGTGGGCAGGGACATCTTCAACTAGATCAGGTTGCTCAGAGCCTCGTCCAACCTGATCTTGAATGTTTCCAGGGATGGGGCATCCACCACCTCTCTGGGCAACCTGTGCCAGTGTTTCACCACCCTCAGCGTTAAAAATTTCTTCCTTATATCTAGTCTGTATCTACCCTGTTTTAATTTAAAACCATTACCCCTTGTCCTATTGTTACATAAAAAGTCTGTCCCCATCTTTCTTATACGTACTGAAAGGCCATGATAAGGTCTCCCCGGAGCCTTCTCTTCTCCAGGCTGGACAACCCCAACTCTCTCAGCCTGTCCTCACAGCAGAGGTGTTCCATCCCTCTGATCATTTTTGTGGCCTCCTCTGGACCCACTCCAATAGGTCCATGTCTGTCTTAAAAATGGATGTGAACCCTGCAAGGCTGTTGCTAATCAAGGTCTTATACAGATATCGAGGAGATACCGGCATTTAATGTATAGTTGGGTTACAAATAACATCTTCTACACTAAATCCCTTTTACATACCATGCCATGCCATGCCATGACGTCTTTGTAAACTTCCATGGTGGTTACATGAATTTGAGAGCTGCAGTACCTTTGTGAACGGGGAGGAATCTGTCATGGCAGCTATTCCAGCATATGAAGAAAATAATATTCACAAGATTTCCTTAACAGAATGCACTTCTGATATAGTATGGTATGGTATAGGATATCCTTCTGCCAGTGTATTGTACCTGATTTACCTATTAATCAAAAACTCATAAAGACCTGAATAATCTTTTCAGGAGAGTCTAACGTGGTAGAGAAGATTATTCTAATGCAGACTTTGTGTATGCTCTGAAGGTTTGGTTGAGGGAAGCAATCAAGAGACTGCTCAAGGCATTTTCCGGAGATGTGCAATTCAGAGCTGAGTCCTGAATTTTAATGGTAAAGGAAGTCCCAGCCAGGTAGAAAGGGTGTTGTTGACTCATGTGTGTGCTATTTTAGGAATGAAGCTTTTAAGTTGTATGCTAACACCTGGGTTTCATTCCAGTGCTTTTAATCCAGGAATGCTGCATATGAAAATCTCTGCTTACATAAAAATAATTCACCGACTTTCTGAATCTTCTGAAATTCTGTTTTTGAAGATGGTAGCAGAAGATGGTGCCTGCCACTCAGTGAGTAGTGAATTCCTCTTGGTACCTATTGAAATACCTATTCTGATATTGGGGATGAGTTTGTATACATCTTATGGAGTGGTGTGTTTTCACCACTCCATAATTTCATGGTGGAATTATGCATGCTTCAGTCAGTCTGTGTCCTTTGAGTTTTATTTATCTTAACCATTTAGATTTGTAGTAAAAATTGAGCTAACTGAGGCAGATGATCAGTAGGTGCAAGAAGGGATCATACTGCTCTGCTTGCTGTCTTTAGACATGACCTAATTTTTGCCGATGGGAAGTATGGCTGGGCAGCTCTTTGGTTCCTAAACATTCTGCTGTGCCACAGGAGCATGTCTGTAGCCAGCAGGATCCTGGCTGAAGGCATAGAAAACGACACCAGAATGAGGACATATTCTGGGCAAAATGGTGTAAGAACAACCAAAAGACAAGATATTTTGCGTTTTGCTTAATGCTAAGTTTTATTGTCTACAAGTCAAGAGAGAAAATGAAGGATGATCACGTTAACAGCAAAGTCCCATACACCAAGAAGAGAATTAGCAGCCACACTAATATCTAATAGCACTTTGCCTTTTACAATGGGTGATGTATTCAAGCGCACTGCAGACGTTCAATAATTGAAGGACAGAAAGAAGAAGATAGCTTAAGTTTCAAAACAAGAAGAAAATCGCTAGGCGTTTACTCCATCATCATTTGAACCCGAAGTGAATGAGCACGTTTTCATCTCCTTGTGCCTGTTCTTGTTGCACACCAGAGATGGGAGCTGGCAGAGCTGCTTTTGCTACCCGGAGTTGGCTCAGCAACACTTCTTGATTGTGGTGCAGCACTGCTGGATGGGTGTGCAACACTTCCTCATGGGAGAGCAGTATCGCACAGGGCTGCAACACACCACAACGGGCTTCTTCTTCACCACGTAGGAGCAGCAAGACAGACATCCAGGGCAGCAGCAGGGGCAGCAACCACAGCAGCAGCAGGGTCGCTGGCTACAGCAGCAGCAGGATTTCTGGCACACCTTGGTACAGCAGACAGACTGCTGGCAGGGGTCACAGCAGGGCTTCTGGCATGGGTCACAGCAGGACTGCTGGCACGGGTCACAGCAGGGCTTCTGGCACGGGTCACAGCAGGACTGCTGGCACGGGTCACAGCAGGGCTTCTGGCATGGGTCACAGCAGGACTGCTGGCACGGGTCACAGCAGGGCTTCTGGCATGGGTCACAGCAGGACTGCTGGCATGGGTCGCAGCAGGGCTTCTGGCATGGGTCACAGCAGGACTGCTGGCATGGGTCGCAGCAGACGGACTGCTGGCACGGGTCACAGCAGGGCTTCTGGCATGGGTCACAGCAGACGGACTGCTGGCAGGGGTCACAGCAGGGCTTCTGGCATGGGTCGCAGCAGCAGGACTGCTGGCATGGGTCGCAGCAGACGGTCTTCTGGCACGGCTGGCTGCAGCACACCGTTTTGCTCTTCACGATGGAGCAGCATCCGGTAGAGCAACATCTGGTAGAGCACATGTTTGTAGTGTATCAAAGGTGGAAGGAGGGAGAACCTGAAACACAGCGTACTTTCAGATACAACCCATCTTTCCAATTATATAGATGTGTTTTATTTTGGCATGCAAATGCTGCTGTCTAGGCCCATGGGCGATAGCCATATTGCACACTGCTTCCTATTCATTTGTCTTGAGTTGCAAAAAAACATCCTTACAGAAATCAAGCCACCTGTCACTATCCCAGCGATATTTGTGCATCTTTTGAGCTATTCTGGTAACTAACTTCCCTGTGCTCATCCATGAAGATCACTCCTTGAACTTCCATCCCAAGAAGCTTTTTTCCAACTGTGCTCTCTCTACCAACTGTCTTTTCAATAAGCAATAGACTAACAGGCTAGAAAAATCTGGATTTCAGAGAGCTGTAGATCATAGAATCATAGAATAGTTTGGGTTGGAAGGGACCTTTAAAGGTCATCTAGTCCAACCCCCTACAAAGATCAGATACAAAGACACATTTCAATTCATTGCTTGACCAAAACCAAATGAGAACCATTGCTATCAAGGAACACTACTAATAGGTAACACTTACCGTGCTAACTGAGTGGTGCAGTTGAGTGAGGAGCAAAGGGATGGGGAGACCTTTTATTTAGCTCGAAATTGTCCTGCCGGAAATGAGGTACCCCACAGCAATTCATGATTTACGCACTAAGCCTATACTTATTTGTTGAATGTGCCTTCATCTATTTAGTCTTTGCCTCATTGTTTTTGACCAACCCCTCAATTTTGTGTTATTATCAATTTGTTCTGTAAATTTTTTACAATTTTTTAATGTCAAGTTAATTCTTGTGTGATGCTTGTGAACTGCCTAAAAGGTATGTTTCTGCTCATTTTGCATATGGTAACGCTGTTACATTGAGATGCTAGGTGGCTCGTTCAGAGCTAGTGAGTGCTCAATTGACGTAAAAATCATAATAAAGCTTGAGGAGCAGTGGATTTCAGAGGCATGCAGAGGCCTTCTGGATGTCAGTCACTCCCTGATACGATTTTGTAAAACAGAATTCCAGCAAGTGTAATTCCATGGTCCCATGTTTTGTTTTTGAATGCAGAAATGGCGATGCCCAATGTCTGTCTTTGGGGGCTCGGGTCATCAGAAAAGCAAATATGGAACAGAAAGTTCTTGACACCTCGTCCTTTGTTGCCTCATCCCATCCATGCACGGGACAAAACATGCCCTTGGCCTTGCCAATATCAGAAATTTTAGGTGCAAAGGACTGTGCAAATTCATCATGGAAATTTGGAGTAGTGTTTGGGTCAAATTGGAGTCTATATTTTTCCAATTCCTTTTTAAAGATCTTTAAATAAAAGCAAAACACAAAACTTTTCTGGAATTTTGACATCCTGTTTCTGCTTAGCATAACTTGATCTGCAAAATTCCTATTCCATTTTTTTAAGTTGTAGTATGCCCTCGAGTGATGAAAGATCCACCTACGGATGTTATTTTTGAAATAACTCTATGCTCAGTTCCCAGTCGCCCATTGGCAGTCATTAGTGCTGATGTCAATGATGATGTTGCAGTTATTTATTAATGATGTTAATATTTATTTTGCATGAAAGCCTGAAGGCCTCACATGATGCGCTGAGCATCTTTAGGTTTTCAAATTAAACTACGTCTTTTTAAAAAATTATCTCTCTCCGGTCCGAGGGAATTCATGGGAGCCGGGACTGTGACTGGCGTGATTAAATGTTTCATTTCTGAGATCACCGCGAGGAGGAGGGCTGCTCCTGCTGCTGTGGGGCTGTGCACCTGTGGGAACAGAGCACTGAAGGACCCTTGACCACCCTCCCCCATAGCATACAGCTTCACTGGAGATATCCTGATTTCTCCTGAGGCGAAGGAGAGAAGGGTCAGGCTCTTTCTGCTCATATAGAAACACAGTGCGATCCAGATCACAGGTGCTGAGGACGGGACAGGTCATCATGAACCTTCAGTTTGACTGCTGGTGGCATAAAGCATCCGTTTGCACCCAGTTTCGGCTGGGTAGCCCCTGTTTGTCTTCGGCTACATCCCAGCTTGTAGAAAGCTACCCAGTCTTGCTTCCAAGAATTCAAAGGACCATGAAGTCACCACTTCTCCAGGCAAGCTCTTTCCAAGGTCAACGTTCCTGTCCACTAAAACATAGGCTTCATTGCCTATTGAGTTTGGCTTCATGCTAATGACCCGGTTAGACTACTGCCACACGTTATAAATCATAATCTAATTAGTGCTGGAAATTTACACCAGCCGAGTACCTGCATCTCAGCTAACAATAAAGGAGGCTCATGGCAACCTGGGAGATGGCCAGGAGGGGATTTCTGAGCCTTCAGGGAAATGAGAGGAGACTCCACCGTTAGAAAAGTGGGGGATCCTGAGCAGCGAGGTAAAGCAAGAGACGTTGGTCAAGATGAGGCAGTCTTCTGCGTGACTTTGTATGGATCTGGTACATTGCTTCACCTCGTGTCCCTCGGAGTCAAAAACACCACTGCTGCTGTTAGAGCTCGATGTGAACGTCAGAGCTGTCTAAAGCCATGTGAGACAGATCCCTAGGCAGCTGGGAGACCCGTAGCCGATCTTACAAGAGGAGTTTTACAAAAGAAAAGATTCAAATTAGATAAAAAAAAAAAATCCCAATTAAATTTCACATTGAGTTGAATGAACTTAGCAGGCTCCGTAAGATGCCCAGAGTAACACCACTCTCTTTGGCTGGATTTGAGAGTTACGGGTGCAGTGAAGCAATCCTCGCTGTGAAACAGCTAAGGCAAATTCCTCCGCATTAATCCTTAGGGGTTTGCTCATGGTTTATCCTGGTTGTGGAAATCCGCTGTTACGTTATTTAACACATACTCAGCAGAGCAGAAATGTTCCTCTAAGCTCTCTGGAGCGTTAGGTATAGAGGACTTCTTCTCTTGCCAAATGTTTCTGGTCTCTGATTTAAAAAAAAATTTATCCTGACGAGGTAAAGCATTCATAAAGGCTTTGGTCCGTGATGTTCCAGGTGTCAAACCTCTCCAGGGCTGACAAAAGCTTAGAATAAAATAGAATAGAATAGAATAGAATAGAAATGCAACAAAACAAAATGCAACGCAACGCAACGCAACAAGTTTCATTCTTGTTTCCCTGTTACTGCTGCCATTTCTCATCCTCAGGTTAACAGGAATTTCAAGCTTGAGCACAGCAGGAAGCGTAACCAGTTCAGAGGCTTTGTGCCTTTCGTGGGACTAGGAAAAGGAAGAGGAAATGAAACGTGCTGTGATTAGTCACAGGAAAGTTGGAGGCCTGGGGCAGCAAGGGAAAGTGAACGTATACACTTGAAGACAAAACCACTGCTATGGACAGAGAGCCTTCCTGACTCAACACCCAACTGCAGAGAGGTGAAGAACGCCTAAGGAAAAGAGTTTTTAATGTAGCTGCCAAGGGTCGCGTGAAGATGAGCCGTCTCTTCGCAATGGCAACAACTTGAATGTAGGTCAGTAATTAATTGCTCTCTGCATCCTCTTTGCAACTTTTCCTTTTTAGCAGCCTGTTCCTCCATAATGACAATTTTCTCCGTAACCTATAAATAACTAATTCCAATTCCTTATGTACCAACTGGTCATTTACTAGGTACTGGCAGTGCCCAGCTCATCCAGCCTATTTCCCATGCCTGCCCTGGGATGGATGAATCATGCTGGGGAAGCCTTCTCTCATTTTACACGGTAGAAATTGTTTAATGGAGGGTGTTCCAAGGCAGGTTCCAAACCCTGCAGGATTTGCTTTGTTTTGTTTCCAAATATAGCAGCGGCTTTTAAAGATCACGTCTGCAGTAAAAACATGACCGTGCAGGCCAGGCCCCCGGCTGTAACTCTGAAACCCCCATTGCATCTGCTGAGCTCAGTGCAAGTATTCATTTCCCCAGGAATTAACCCAACGTGTTTCTCCTAGCCTTCTGCGTGCAGTGCAGCGTTCCTGGCGTCACTGGTGGGTGCCCTGGGCATTTTCCTTGACTTTCATGTTTCCTTGGCGTTCCTCCTACTTTAGCTATTTTCACCAGGGATTAAAGCGCGGCTCTAAGACCACGAGAAAAAACAGATGCCGCCAGACAAGCAGATATGATGGAGCGGTGACCAAAAACATCCAGAACTGTTAGGTAGGCTTGAAACATAACTTTTATTGTCTTGCTGGAGAACGAAGCAGCAAAGCAAGAAAGAAACTATTCCCAGAGGACAGTGTGCTTTGCATTGGCAGAAGGCAGATAAACAGCTCAAAGGCTCATTAAACCGAGAGGCTTCATGCAAATGCCACACTACCCTCCAACCGGTTTAGAACCGTTTGCTTGCAGAGGAGCGGCATGGCTGGCAGGCGAAGAGCAAGGAGATGAGCTCGAGGCTCTGGGTGAGGAGCGAGCCGGTGGGTCCAGGTGCCGGGGCTGGATCCTGCTGCTAGTACTTGGGGTATGTCGATGGCAGCTTGCAGATGTTCTTGGTGTACTGGGGGCAGTAGGGGACTGGAGGGCAGTACCGTTGCA